AAGTCTACATATTTAGCATAATCGAAACTGCCTTCTACATATTATTTTAGGAGAACTTTTCTGTGTTTTTGGTATTGTTTTTTTTTCTTTTCTTTTTTGGCTTTTTTTGTTGTTGTTTATAAAGAAGTTGTCTTTTTTTCAGGGTGTGACTAAAAAAGTAAATGACTTGAAGAAAAGCTAGCAACAGCACACGTTATTGTTTTACATGATCAAATCGGTGTAAAACTACTGTAAGCACAAAGGTTTTCCGTAAGTAACAACCATCAATCTTGTCATAAACTTGCTATTTCAATGTTAAACATGATTATCTTGTTAAGTTTTGGCAGCTACAACAGTCTTCACAATTCAGAAAACTTATAAATTCAACACGTAAGCCAACTGATGAGACAGTAACATGAAATACGTTTTAATAACCCGGTCATAGCCACAGAAACCTATGTTTAAAATTGCAACAAGTAACAGGTTGTATCGTTTTGTTTTCTCTTCATTAAAGCTGTAAAGCTTTTTGCCTAACACTTAAGCGATAAGATCATTACATAATTTACATACAATAAGTAAAACTGTTATTTGTAACGTAAACAATTCTTTACAATTTTACATGAGTTATGCTTCAAGCTTCCAATCAAACCGACGACATGTTTCGTTTTTGATTACATATGATTGGTTTAGTGTACAAAAATTATTATCATGACCTTGTAAATATTTCAGTGAGGTCGAAAAACCTGAAACAAAAAGCTAGATTAGGTGTAGCACTTAATGAAAAAATAAAAATAAAATAAATAAAAAAAACAATAATAAGGGATATTATAAAAATTAAAATGAAAATCGGAATCTAGTGCGATTGTTTGTCCGATTTATGTTAAAGGCGTTCAAACTCTCCTATCCATTTTAAGTTCATTTTACATAATAAAGAAAAAAAAACGAAGGGATTAATAAAATAAGATTTTTTACACAATTGACCAAAGTATACAAAAATTATATATTAATATAAAAATAAAAATATTTCCAGTCCTGTCATTTCTAAAAAAAACTCTCAGAATAAGATCCTTGGCCATTAGAAAATATTTTAGAAATAGAAAAGGATAAATTTAGAGACGTCAACAAAATATCAGTGAGATGAGTAAACATTCTGTCTTATTGTACCGTGCGTTTTGTTTAAGTATACTTATTACTGTTTTTCAATAATAAAACATAATTATGCTTACATAAATTAAAAACAAATCGTCTATCAGGTTTTTATGCAAAGTTCTTACATGTATGACAGGATACGAAATCGAGAGAAAATAACATCACTTGAATAACATAATATGGAATTTACGTGAAATTTATATTAGGTTAAGCAAAACCGTAGGAGTTTTTCTAATTTGAATTTGTCCATGCATTTAAAAAAATAAATTGATGTAACTGGTGAAACGACACCCGTTGCACGAGACTTCGCCAATTCAGAAAAATTGTAAAGACAAAAAATACTAAATACAGACAATCATTATCATGAACGACATAGCATTTTTAAATTTAATTAATACCAGTTACAAACATGGTGGTTTTTAAACAAATTAGCTTGTTATTTTAATTGTACTTAAAAAAATTTAGGTCCAACAAATTACTGTAATTTGTCAGTTGTTATATCTACATAAGACAAATTTTTCTTTAATTTGTCATAAATATGTCACAGCAGAAATATCATGACGTTAGAGTAGCTTAAACTTTATAGAATTGTTCTTATGATGAAAATTATTATTGTGATACATTGTAATTTAATTTAACTCTTCCTGTAAACATGATTTAATTGATTTGGTTTCTTTTTATTCATATGTATCATATGTATGTTTTTATATAGACGAGGAGTGAAAATCTCAAGACTCCAAATAAAGATAAGTAAAATAAAAAACAATCATTTTACTCAGAATAAAGCTTTACTTTTTTTTTCATTAGAAAATAAACTAAAAAAAACTGGAATAATAACAATATTTTACCGGTTGCATTGTACAATCCTAGAAGCATTTGTATTTCAAGCAAGATGAGTTGCAATTCAACAAACGTTTATAACTAACTCATTTACAACTTATCACAAATCACTCCTAAATAGAATTACTGTCACACATCTTTGAATTTGCACCGTATTTTCTGATCCAAAGCAAGCAACTGATTTATTTTTATTTCTTTTCTTTTATTTTTTCTTGCTGTTTTAAGAAATCGGGATTTTACGAGAAGATGTCAATTATTTTACAACATTTAGACATCTACGCAAGATAAATATGATAAGAATTTGTCTTGGAATTTATGTTTTATCGTTAACATGTTAAAATATAATACAATAAAAAAAAATATTTCGAATTTTGAATTTAAAATTTTGACATTTTTAACAGGAAAATAAGTGAGTATAAAGATAATTATGATGAAGATTTTGACAAAATATGTTTTTGAATGTATTCTTGTGAAGGAATTTGTAATAAAATACATTTCTGATTATTTTTCTTCCAGACGTATTTTGTAACAAAATGTATTTCGGGATGTTTATCAGGTTATAACAAATTTTTTTCAGAGGTCTTAATACATGTAAATTCTGCGTGAGACCTCACTTCATGCTTAAAACAAACTTATTTAATAACCTCGTACCTACCCTGGTCCTTTATAACCTCGAACCCTGATTCTGTTAAATGATACGAATGTAAAATATGATATATTGTGTTTCTTGTTCCCAAACGACTAATTGTAACGCATAAATTGTATATTTTTGTTATCTATGCAGAAAGTGACCAACATCTATAATCTGCCTAAAATGCGCAATATGAGCAATGTTTTGGCAAAGAAATGCATAAAAACACTGACTTTTTTAAGAAAACGTTTAATGTCCCTCACTAACATGACTTTTACCGATTAAAAATGAAATATTTGAAAGTTATGACAATAAATACTAACTGAATCGTCTTTTGTATTGCTTTTCTGCCCAACGCCGATCACAAAAAATGTCATTTGGTATAGGCATTTTGTTAATAAATTATTTAAAACACAATTCAACATGCAACACATGAGTAAAATTAGTATTAATTATTTTATTATTGAGTGGTTTACAATGACGTTATATTTACCAAATACCAGTACAATGAATAGGTTTTATTTTTTATTAAATTAATACATTTGCAACAAAATGCATCCAATTCCTAACATAATTGCATAACAAAGAGCCGTTTAGCGCACACGCATTATTTTACTAGGGGCTAGTAAACCATGAACGTGTTGGGCATTCGTAAAGGATTTCGCTTTTCATTTTTGTTTGAAAGAGATATTGGTCATTTGACGATTTGTATTCTGGATTCATGTTTCCCTGTTTTAAAGATATGCATTGGAAAAGGGACAACTGAAAAAAATGTATATTTATGACTACTATTCATGTCCTAACATTTGACTTACAGTTCTCCTAAACAAATTTGCAAAAAATGCTGCTTTCTTCCAGTTAAAGTGCACGTGATAGTAGTCATTTATCATCAGACGGTATGAAGTACTCTTTAGCAGTCCGTATCCACTGGCAAAAATTGGATTAATCAATCAATAACGATACGAGTAAATAATTACGTATCAACATATTTCTTGATATTCTTGAATTCTGAAACAAAATGAACTTTCTCAAAAGTTCGAAGGTGTAGAGTAAAGCCTGTGATGAAATACCTTCATTGAAATCACTGCGCGTTAAACCTTGTTTGACCTAGCACGTGATAAAAATTCAGAGATATTTTCCAAGTAATGATTGATACTTTTTTCTAAATATAGATGCTACTGATAAGTAGACCACAATGCAACAGATACAGGTGATTCCATGGATTGTCGAGGTAAAAAAGCAGATGAAACTTCAATAAATAACACTGTATTTGTGTTCGCGGTACTTTGATGTAGTTGCGATGGATGAGTCAAAAAGCGTAAAGTCCAACCTTATGCAATTTAGTCTGTTTAACCGAATAACTGGACGGTCTTTTACATTTTTGTGTTTTTATGTTGAAATTTCCATTTCTTTGTTAACATGTCTTTCGTCCTAGTTTTACTTAGACTGTTAATTGTTATTTGATGTGTTAGTTTATGTTACATGTTATTCAACATTATAGTCGTGTGTTGAAAACATTAACATGTCTGTTTCGCTTTGCTTTCACATGTTTCCTCTGAAAAAATATTGAAAACGGTCTGTAATAAGGTCAAACAACTAAAGATGGGGCATGATAAACTATATCAGAATTTGACGATAAGGGCATTTTTTCTTTTTAACTGATAAAATGTTTGGGAACAATCAGCACCGAGGAAGTAAATGACGTTGTGTGCTTTTTATCTTATACTACTAATTGGTTAAGGAAGGCACCTAATGCCCCTAAGTCTAATAGGTTGCTTTTAATGTTTTCTTAAAGGAAGGCTTAATAACACACCAAATTCTAATGGGTTGTTTTGAGTTTTCATAGATAAACAAGGGTATTTCCAAAATAAATACGTGAGAGGAAAACTAAATCTCATTTTAAGACCCTTTCGAGACACTGCTTAATAAGATTCATTGCACTCTTTAATCATGTTCAAAGTTTTCTTAAAGATCAAATATAGTAAAAGTGTATTGTTCAACTCAATTAGATATTAAATCAAATTGTATTTCATTTGCCGTTTCTTGTACATTTATGACATAAAATAAAACTTACTCCAAATAATATTTCAGAAATGAAAAAGAAAAAGAACCATCATTCTATAATTTAAGTACCTTAGTCGAGTTATAGCCCATAAAGGATATCAATTACTCTAAGACAATTACGCAACAACCTGTATTTCAACATAAGACTGTTCTCAATATCATCATCAACGGAACGCAACGACTTGAGAAAAAATGCACGAGTACTTAGTCTGAATGTCAATGATGCAATGAGAGCGGGAAGTTTAGACGAGAAGTTTTTGATTCGTTCGCTGTCTATGAAGTATTGGATCATAGTCGTAATGGATGTTCTATTATAGGTAAACACCATACTACAGCTTGTTTCCGTTCAGTGTGTAGTTAGTTAGCAATTGAGCGCGCTGTATTTACGGATTCATTAAATCTATTCATTTGCGATTAAACAGACATGATTTACAAAGTTTGAAGGTCCAAAAGGATATAATTCATCAAAATAAAATATATTTGCAGAAAAGATAGATAATTCTTATTTATGTTGACATTGTGATTGGAAATAATTTAAGAAAATAATATTTTTTATGCCTCGCAATTTTGTCTTTTGACAATTATTATGTGGATTGCTTTAATGCATGCGATTTGATTTGTGTACTTTATAGAAAATCTGAGTTTGTTATTACTCAAGAAATATTTGGATAAAAGAAATGATTTTACTCTCCATTTATGTAATAAAATCGCACGAAAAGAACAAAAATGAATACCACTGTTTTGCCTGCAGATTACAATACGACTAACAGTTCACCCCCTTTAACAAAGGATGAATTGCTTGAATTATATCTTGGTCCAAGGTTCCAGGAAACCTGGTCCGTTGTCATTCTACTTACAATTTATGGACTTATTTTCATCTCGGGAACAGTCGGAAATATTTGCACGTGCATTGTGATTGTGCGGAACAATTACATGCAGACAGCTACCAACTACTATTTATTCAGCCTGGCAATATCTGATTTGTTTATTTTGTTATTAGGTAAGTGTGTTTTCATATTTAGATATAACTTTATAATCACCATCATGATTCCGTTATCAAGTGTTATTCTGTTATTAAGGCGGGTGCCAGGAGTGTCGACTGTAGCTTCTTTTGTCCATTTATATACTCAGTCAAACCGAGCTTGCAGTATTTTCAATGTCGCCATTTTGAATTTCTTCAATGTTTTTCATTGAATCTTTTTCCTTATTTGTACCTTTTATTGATATCATTAATGATCATTCTGACATTTTATCCATTAATTACTGAATGTGATGATTTTAGTTGTTAGATTCATTTTACTCCATTAGATAAAGAGTTATATGAAAATAATGCGTGAATGAATTTTCCTTACTTTTGAAATCCATTGAAAAATGAAATGAGATTGTACTGTTTCTTACTAGTAACCTAAAATAAGCGACCTTTGCCTAAATGTCTAGAGCAAGAAATTTTCATCGAAAAAAGAAAACAGAATCAAAACCGCGTTTACACGTATGGCTCAAACGTCCTTCCATGACAATATTGTTCTTATTAATGCTATGAAAAACAAGTACTTAAAAAAAAATATTATGAATCCTAAGTACATAAATAATTTAATACTGCTAATTGCAAGCGACTGCGCTAGATTAATTGCATATTGAGGTAAATAATTTTGAATTTAAACATTCATTTTTTATCAAGTGAAAAATATAATTGATGTGTATTAAGACATGAGATATATACTCTTATGATTTGCATTCAAAAGAAAATCATTCTTAGCAAACAAAAATTGAACAATATCTCGAAAAAATAAGTAAAATGAAGCATCGCTATTATAAATTCCTTGACCATATCTTTCCATTTAAGTGTGACTGTCGTATATGCGAAAACCCTTTTAAGCATGTTAAAACTAAAAGTTGCATATTTTTTAGGGAGCATTTAATTTTGTTTTCTGGTATACTAATTTGTAGCAAAATAGAAGAACTTCTTAAAACTATGATAGTATATATGTGAAAACACCTGATTCCTTAGTGGGCTTTTTTAAAATATACTTTACTAAACTCAGATTCAATGTCATCTTTTAACAGTTACGTTTGAACAAATTACCAAAAAAACGACAGTATTTGCTGACAACAGTGTCCATAAAATGCACACAACCGTATTTAACGGTCCTATTATGTCCCCGTTTATTATTGCTCGAACATTTTCAGTAATCAGAAAGCATTTAAGTCTGATGGAAGCACTCCAAACAACTGAGACATAATTTTGTAAGAATTTCTTGTATTTACTCTGCATAACCATTGTTTATGTTTTGTAGTTTTTTAAGCATATTACTTAGCAGTATGGATTAGAAGTTACGCCTTGAAATTCATACCTAAGCATAATGAATAATGAGGAAACTGGGAGAATATTCACGATAATTGATAAAAGATGCTAAATACATTCACTATCTTGTCCTAGATGTAATATATACTGCGTTTAATACTGATCCATTTATTTTCCTTTATTTTACAATCGTTTTATCAGATATTTCATGCTAAAAAGTGCAAAGACAACCCATTTTAAAAGTTGTGAAAGCTAAAAGTATATTTTTTGTTGTACATCTATGTTCATGATTATTTTTTACCAGAGTAAATCATCGATACTGCTCGAAATGAAAGTAGTTTAGGAATTGGCATTTAATTATTTAAAATTTAATTGTTCGTTGGTGAAAATTGCTAATTATTACACAAACAAGTAAAAATGGTCCCCACAATAAAATAAGAAAAAACGCACTTTAACTTATGTCGAAATATAGACATATTTACATTGTCACTATTGTCCGATTATACAACCATCTTTCAAAGTCATGTTCTTCACAAATATCGAAGCACGTGTTGGTTTGATAGCACGAATTGTCGATTTATATACTAGTACAACATATGTTTTATTCTACCTTGATAACTCATTATCAACATCCCGGAAAACTATGCACGTATCAGTACACATCTTGTTTATTTCATTTATATGAACAAGTTTTCTCGTTGCACTACAGAACATATTTACTTCAAGAATAAATAACATTATCTATAAATGTGAATGCCCGCAAAAAGCAATACATAACGATGTGTCTGATTTATAGCAGATAATTTATGACAGTTTTCCACCATTAAAATTGCTATCCGGAAAAAAATAGCATACGAACAATTTCGAGTAAATGTCTGATAATGGCAAACCTTCTGGAATTAATTGTATGGCGTTGATGAACGCTGTATAACGTAGAAATTTCAACAGAAACCACAATAAACATGTCAAATTTTACAATGAAGCAATTATTGAAAACGTTGCAGCATATAAATCAAGGTCTTCTTCCGAAATCACACTCGTAAGTTACAAGCCTTGTCTGATAAGTTTTACAAATTAATGACAACAAATTGATATGCTTGTGCGAAACTTTCCTAAAATATAATACATCATTAATCATTTCTCTAAACTTCTTGTAAATAGTTAATCAAACCCGTCCAGTGTTTGGATTTTTAGACATTACTTTTTTAAAATATATGATGTTTAAACTTGCATTTGGAAGCCAAAGTATGAACGTTAAAAAAGATATGTCTTTTGAAGGATTGAAATATACCCGTATGACTATAATATTCTGACTCAAGGTAAAAAGTGTTTGAACTACATATAAAAAACATTGGATATATATTGTTATAAAATATAACTCAGAAGAAATGGATTTATACATTTAGTGTCTGACAGAAATATTTAATCAACACACTTAAGAACTAAAATAAAAACAGTTATCATCTTTAAAGTTAACTCTGTTAAGTTTACCGCATGCATTTTGAAGAAATATTTGATCAACAAATTACTAAAAATAAAAAGAGTTCTCAGCTTTCAAGGCTAAGTTTAAGTTTACAAATTGCGTCGCATATTTCCTCTATTTCATAGATAATCTTTGCTGTTCTGATTTACTTAACATTTTCTTATTAAGCTTCAGGAAAAGTACAAACAGGACAAAACTGTGTACATTTTCTGGGATCAAGCGGTAAACATTATATCCTGATATAATTTACCATGATTTATTCTTCCATGTACACGGTAGATTTCTTTTTATCTTATCTAACTTTCACATCAATGATCCCCTCTTCAAATCTGTGGCCGCCTACAATTTTTTTGTATCTAACAAACATATTGATTAGAGTAAAAAAACAGGAGCCGAATGTTTAAGTAATGAAGCGTTTCTGATAAAACATGTACATAACAGATGTTTATTAATACAGTATGGTAGAGCTTTTAATTTATTGGTAGGGGGATCTTCCAGTACTTTTCAATTATATAAGATTTGTTCTAACCGATAAGGTGGAATGAACGGTAAATTCTGATATCAAAAATTCTAAAAATGATAACTAAACAGACCTGAGCGTTTTCGTTTCAGCTCATTGAGACTTTATTTTAATCAGTATTGCTGTATCCATACTAAAATTATTTAAACAATGTTGCTTTTACATTGAAGAAGCTGTATCATTAAGTAGGCAACACCGTCAACTAGCTTTGTGCTAACTTTGTGGAATAATAAAATTGATTAAAACACGTGTGGTGGTTCCAAGAAATATAATTCATTTTTTTTTAATATTTCCGATTTACTACGCAATATGAACCCTCTTTATTGCCAAAAAAAAAACTAATTGCAAATATGCAAGTTATTTTTTAAAAAAGGGAAAAGCAACGGAAAATTTAAAAATTTTTGTTTTACATCTTTGTTTCAGCTTACATTAACGGTAAAAGCAAGCAATTTTAATTCATTTTCTGTCAGTTTCGAGCGCTTTTCTTTACAATCGCGCGAAAACCCAATTTTTTACTTTAATTTAAATTTTACCCGGGGGAATGGGGGCTGAAAATAAATGACATTTTTAAAGGGCCCCCCACTTGAATGATTTTACAGAGATATCTGAAATAGAGTTTTTTCGAGGAAAAATACAAACACTGTTTAAAATAAAAAAAAATTTAGTTAAGGGTTTAACATTTTTTCGCATGTTTTTCCCAAACAATTTTTTTCAAACGTAGATAATAAATTTTTTTTTATAAAACCCCAAAATTTAAAAAAACCAAAAGGGAAAAAAACTAATAAAACTAAAAAAAAACAAGCTGACGAATAAACACACACCTTATGCATGTATATGTAATAGATGTAGATAATACAAAATAATAGGCTGATTTTTATACGTCTTTTTTGTACAAAAACTATAAAGGAGCAATTAAAAGATCATCTTATCAATACCAGGCCCATTTCGCAATATAAACACCGGTGGATAAAGTGAGCGGCGACAGCCTGATCCCAAATTAAGGCACACATTTCTGGGAAGCAAAACGAATTATTTGAAAGTTTTTTTGAAAACTGTCAGTTAAGTCTAAAAAGATTTTTGAAATATTAAATGGCTAAATAAAATGTGCTTTATTGTAAACATCCGTTCATAAACGGCGATATAGTCATGTTGTTTATATAGCGAATTTATAATACAGTAGATATTTAATCTTAAACTTAAAGCAGTCGTGTACCAACGTGCAGCATTATTCTAGACTAAGGGTTTCATTTAAAAATTATTTTGGGATAAAAATATCAAAAGTTTTTAATCTATTTTCTTTTTCAATTTAAAAGGGGAGAAAAATGGTTTTTTTCCGCTTGATCCCTCAAAAATTTTAATTTTTATAATTTCATTATTTTTGCATAGAAACAAAGATTTAAATTAACAAATTTAATTTTTGTTTCCTAATAATAAACGTTTTCTTTAATGGGTTAGTTTCCAAAATTTGTTTAGCGTTTAAAAAAAACCGCAATCTGATTATTTTTTAAATACCCCAAACATTTTAAAACCCAGCGGGTTTTATACGTTTTTTATGAAATGAATCCCACGGGAAAAAGCTTAAAATTTTTTTTTTTTCCCTATTTTGGGTATCTGTAAAAGTGAATATTTTCAGTTTGTAAATTGAAAATTATTTTTAAATTCCCAATTTTTTAATTTAGAGTTTCCCTTTTTACG